CGGGGCAGCCCCCGCTCGCTCGCCGCGCGGCAGCCCACGGCCGGGCCGCCCCCAACTCGTCTCATTCCTTCTCCTGCTGTTTCTTCCGGGGCTTGAACTCGGTCCTCGCACGGCCCCAGCCGCCGGCCCGGGGCCTCAGACAGCTTGAGGTCGGCTCCGGCCTAGCCACAGCACGTCCAAAGCTAACGAACCGAGTGAAAAGCGTCCGGTGGAGGAAGGAACCGGAGAAGCTGGGAAAACGCAGACTGCGGACCCGCGCGGGAGCCGTCCGGAGCAGCCCCGGGACACACACACACCCTCTATGAATTGTGCATTTTGGTTTTATCCGTAATATAAATAGGGTTGAAGATGCTGTGATGTGTGTCAAATAATGCACCTCCTTCTCTGTCCATGGCGTGTACACACACCTGTATAGATGTCTGCACATTTGCTAGGCAGGGACTCTGCCACACAGCGACGCCCGGCCTCAGGACTAACGACCTGACGGTGTTTCTGGAAGCCGGTGATTGCCAGGTCCTTGAGCGGCAGCTAGAGCCTGTCTGCCTGGCTGTCAGGAGAAAACTGGCACCTGTGTAGCTCTGTGAGTGGCAGGAGGCTGGTGGGCATTTCCTGTGCGGAGCACAGGAGGAAACACCCCAGGCCTCTGTTGTGGTGGGGAGTCCTGCTCAGAAGCTCTCACCTGCCTGAGCAGGGACACACAGTCGGGGTGCAGAGCGCAGGGCTATGACACAGTCATCCGAAGCCTGGATCACCAAGGCTGGGGAAAGGTTCCAGAATGAGAGAAACCCCAGACCTCAAACCATAATAGGGTTAACTTAATAATACTAAATGCCTAGTAACCTACTATTAGTTACTATTCTTGGGGAAATGGAGGAGAAATGAGAAGCCTTGCCTTTTTTCCCCTTGTATTTGTATGCAGTTGCTTAAAGTTATTTTAAATTGGAAAATAATGATGGGTGATGGATTTTCACACAGGAAATAGTGCGGTAACCCTAAAGACCCAGAGTAGCCCCAGACCCCAGAAATTCCCTCTGCCCCTCCCTGGCAATCTCTCCACCTGGAACAATCACATTCTGGATTTCTCACTTTACAGAATGACTCAATGGCCAAGCAGCCTAGAAAGATTACAGGTATTTACGCAACACAAAAGTGAATGCCAGGCTGGGAAGGTGGCTCAGTGGTAGAGCGCTTGCCTTTCAGATACACAGAAAAAGCCAGAAGTGGTGCTATAGCTCAAGTGATAGAGTGCTAGCCTTAAGCAAAAAGAAGCTCAGGGACAGTGCCCAAGCCCTGAGTTCAAGCCCCAGCGCCAGCAAAAAAACAACAAAAATGAACGCCAGTAATGCTATATATTCTCCTTGGAGCCAGGTACAGAGCCCAGTGTCTCTGAACACAGGCAAGCACACTTTTCCACAAAACTACCCAAGGCTGAATGCCTGAGTTTATTTTTCTTGGACAAAGAAAGAAAAAAAAGAAAAGCAAAGAAAAAAATCATTCCCACAACCCAAGAAGCCCCAGACTTGTGGGAGAAACAAAATGAATTAAATAATAGTTCTGGTAGAACTGTAAGTCTAATGCTGGAAGCACACACACACACACACACACACACACGTAAGACACGGGGAAGCTAAGACAGGAGGCATAGAAAGTAGGGCTTTAATGGATGAGTAGGAGCTGGATACTATCCACTGCGAATTGAAAGCAACACATCAGACTTGCTCTTTAAGAACACAGCCTGTGTGCTGGCTGGTTACTGGTTAACCACACCTGGTTTGTGTTTGCCTTCCTCAGGTTACTCTCTGCGGGCTCATTTGCTGGCTGTGCGAGCAGGAAAGGGAAGTCTCCGGAGCTCCAGAGATGCACTGTGCTGAGGCCAAGAGGCCTTTAATTAAATTCGACCACTGCAAGATGTCCATCTACAGCTTCGGGGTGCCACAGCGCTGCCCCCTCTGCCAGCAGGACGTGGGCTCGGCCAGGTTGGAGGAAGCCCCGATCAGCATCTCCAGTCCACTTACCAACGGGCATCGGGAAACATGTTCCTTCCTCCTCAGACCAACCCAGGGCACGTTTCTTAGGTACCAAGTCTCTTGTGTTGTGCTGACTTTGCAAGCTTGGCCTTATGGCACACAGTCACTTTCTCTTTCTAATCTGTGCTGTGCGGTGTGAGGGTTGGTGGGCAGTCCTGGTGTGGGGGCCTGACGTCCTGAATGGTGTGCTGGGCGCCAGTGGCTCATGCCTGTCATCCTAGCTACTCAGGAGGCTGAGATCTGAGGATCCTGGTTCAAAGCCAGCCCGGGCAGGAAAATCTGAGAGACTCTTTTTTTTTTTTGGTCCGGTCGTGGGGCCTGAACTCTGGGCCTGGGCGCTGTCCCTCAGCTCTTCAGCTCAAGGCTAGCGCTCTACCACTTGAGCCACAGTGCCACTTCCGGCTTTTTTCTTTTTACTTTTATGGTGCTGAGGAATCGAACCCAAGGCCTCAGGCTTGCAAGGCAAGCGCTCTACCACTGAGCCACCTTCCCAGCCCTATGAGAGACTCTTATCTCTAATAAACCACAGAAAACCGGAAGTGGCCCTGTGGCTCAAGTGGTAGAGCGCTTACCTTGAGCTGAAGAGCTGAGGGACAGCACCCAGGCCCCGAGTTCAAAGCCCCAAGACTGACAAAAACAAAAAAAAAATGGTGTGGGAACTCATACCTACTATCCCAGCTATTCAGGGGGCAGAGATCTGGGCAAGTTATCCAGACTCCATCTCAACCAACAAGCTGAGCCCAGTGATGTTCACTTATCACCCCCGTTAAGCAAGGCGTATACATAGGAGGGTCACAGTTTGGGCTGGTTTGGGCACAAAGAGCCAATTCAAAAAATAAAGGAAAAAGGGCTGACAGTATGGCTCAAGTGGTAGAGCACTGGTCTAGCTAGTGTAAGCCCTGAGTTCAAACCTCAGGAATGGAAAACAAAACGATAGCAAAACACCCAAGCAGGCAACAGTGTGTGGCCAGAGGCACATCGTAGTGGCAGAGCACTTGTGTCACACGCAGCGAGCCTCAGGTTTCATTCCCAGCTTGTCCAAGAGGAAACAGACAAAAGGAGAAAGGGGGGAAGGCGGGGGAAGGGGCATGTACACGGTCCCTGCAATGACATGGGCAATCATACACCACAATCCACAAACAACCCCACAGAAGGGGTTTTAGGAGGGGAAAATATGTGTGAAGAGCCCAACTTGGAGCACTTGCCTGTTTGTGTCTTGTTTAATTTGTGACACAGCCTTACAGACAGGTGTAAACAGCCAATGCTGTTTTGCAACTCAGAACTCATTGCTGAATATGAGATTCTGGTAGGTTAAGAAAGAATATGATTCCTCCAGCAGTTGGCAATGAGAATAGAGTTGATGTAACAGAAAGAAAGAAAGAAGTCTAACTTGTAAATGCCCCAGCAGGTAATTCAGAAACAACAACAACAAAAAATGATTTGGGATAGTTCATCACTTGTGTGACAAGCGGGTACTATGTGCAGAGCGTGAAGGGCTAGTACTTAGACTGGTTTTTGTTTTCCCTTGTTCAGTCGTGGGGCTTGAATTTTGGGTCTGGGCCCTGTCCCTCAGCTCTTCAGCTCAAGATGAGCGCTTTACCACTTCAGCCACAGTGCCACTTTTGGTTTTCTGATGGTTAATTGGAGATAAGAGTCTCATGGACTCCTTCCGGGGCTGGCTTTGACTGGTGATCCTCAGATCTCAGCCTCCTGAGTAGCTAGGATGACAGGCGTGAGCCACCGGCGCCTGGCTTTTAGACAGTTTTGTATGGAAGGGAACTCACTCAACAGGAAGGACGTGTGTGTGTGTGTGTGTGTGTGTGTGTGTGTGTAATCCTCCAGGGATGGCACCTAGCTCTTCCACTGAGCCGTACCCCACCTTATGTCCAGGGCTAGCGCTGGTCTCTTCCTGCTGCAGACATCATCTGGCTTTGCATCCAGCTGGAGGTGGAGGCAAGAAGATCTGGAGTTTGAGGCCACCTAGGGCTGTATAGTGAGACTCACTAAAATAATAATAATAATAAAGGATGAATTCCAAAATCACGAGAAGGGGCTGTGCCCCATGGTCTGTGGAGCTGCTGGTGGTGACTAAATCAATGGCCCTGCCTGGAGCTACCAGCCCCGCTCGGGGCTCCGCCCTGGTCGCCTCCCCCCCTTCCCCCCCCTCCGCCCCAGCTGCTGTACGCAGCAGGCACTGGTCAGCCTGCAGGTTCCCATCTTGATTCTTCCACGAAGAAGCCAGGCTCCTCCCCGACTCTGGGTGGCTCCAAGCTGGCCAGCAGCGGAGGCACAAGCAGCCCCAGCCTCTCCCCTGTGCTTCCCACCCACCAGCCGCCCCCCACCCCTGCCTCAGCCTAGAACAGGCCTGCCTGGCCTCCACTCATAACCGTCCAGGACCCTGGGACTCCCACTGTTGGTTAAGAGGCTCGTGCTAACTGAGTCATTAACTGGTTGGATTCCAAAAGCTTCTGAACAGACAAGATTCAGAGCTGATTTCCCCTAACTTTGGTTCATTTGATAAACCCTTACTGAGCAGCTGTGTGCTGTCACACCGAACAAGCCTCGGGACAACGTGACATCACTCACGATAGGCTTTTGGATTGGTCCTTAAAAGTGCCGGTGGCTCACTCCTGTCGACCTAGCTACTCAGGAGGCTGAGTTCTGAGGTCTCGGTTCATAGCCAGCTGGACAGGAAAGTCCTTGAGACTCTTATCTCCAATGAACCACCAGAAAACTAGAAGTGGCGCTGTGGTTCAGTGGTAGAGTGCTAGTCTTGAGTTCAGGGGCAGCATCCAGGCCCAGAGTTCAAGCCCCATGACTGACAAAAGGAAAAAAATTAGTTTTTTTCCCCCTGGGGCTAGGGATGGAAGCTTGGGCTCTGCACATGCTCACTGCCTCTCAGCTCCACCCTTGCCCCTCCCCGCTTCATGTGCAGATCTAATGCAATTCCAATCAAAATCTCAACACATTCTCTTCTGGACTTGCAAAAGTAAAACTTAAAATGGAAAAGCCAAAGATAATCAGGAGAACCCACACAGAAATAGCAAATTATTTCAGCTTTATATCACTGTTTTTTGAAAGGAAACAAAAAGCAAAAGAATGTGTTTTCTTCCCCATAAGGCCCTGCTGGTCTGACTGGTGGTCCTTCCTCCTTTGTGCAGGGTAACGTTTCCACCAGGCGGGGTTCCCCTTTGCCTGTTTTTGTGGTGCTGGGGCTGAGCTGGGGTCTGGGCCAGGGTGGCTTGGAACGAGAAGGGCCTCTGATACCTCTGGATTCAGCTGCAGTAGCCTGAAAGTGGGGAGCCCTCCCACAGAAGGGAGTGAGGAGCCCCACCAGCAAATGGCTTCCATGCGGACCCCAGGAACCCCAGGAGGATGCGGAGTTCCACTTCAGAAGGACTGGCCTCTGCTTTCCAAGCAAATGCAGCAGCAGGGAGTATTTCTGACCTCAAGTGCACCCCTCAACCAGTGACCCAAAGCTGTCACCACCGGGGGCGCCACAGCACTCCGATAGCTGACTCTCTAGCCTTGTTATTTTCAAGACAAATGAGAAAGCTGGGAGCTGGTGGCTCACGCCTGTAATCCTAGTTACTCAGGAGGCTGAGATCTGAGGATCGAGGTTCGAAGCCAGCCTGGGCAGGAAAGTCTGTGAGACTCTTATCTCCAATTATCCACCAGGAAACCAGAAGTGGAGCTGTGGCTCAAAGTGGTAGAGCGCTAACCTTGAGTGGAAAAGCTCAGGGACAGGCCCAGGCCCTGAGTTCAAACCCTAGGACTGATAAAAACAAAAACAAAACAACAAATGAACGAGAAGACTATTATCCTAAATGATCTTGCTCCCTTCCCCCATCCTCAAGAAAGGAAGGCAGTTTTTTTTTTTTTTTGTTGGTTGTGGGGCTTGAACTCTAGGCCTGGGCGCTGTCCCTCAGCTCTTCAGCTCAAGGCTAGTGCTCACCACTTGAGCCACAGTGCCACTTCTGGCTTTTTCTGCTTATATGGTGCTGAGGAATCGAACCCAGGGCCTCATGTATACAAGGCAAGCACGCTACCACTGAGCTGCCTTCCTAGCCCCAGGAAGGCAGTTCTGCACGCCTTTTGGTCCTGATGGCCCAGGGAACTGTCATGTGTCACTGGACACCCCAGAACTCTGGCCAACCACCTCTCAGAATCCCAGTTCTGATATCCACAATACCAACATTTCTTCCTTCTTTTTTTGGGAGGATGCAGTAGGCCAAACACACAGAAACAAGAAAAATAACCCTCAATCGCTGGTGCAGTGGTACACACCTGCAGTTCCAGCTGCTCCGGAGGGTGAGGTGGGAGGGGTGTGTGAGCCCAGGAGTTCAGGACCAGCTCAGGCAGACTGTCAACGCACAGAGGATGACGCGATGCCCTTTCTTCCAGGGAGTACGATGGGCAGGCTGATCTTCATGTTGGAATAACCAGTACCACAGGTGAGTATGCTCTCACACCTCTTGTAGCTCATCAGCCCCACAGTCAGGATGGGCCTTACATACGTAGGCAAGAGCCACACCCCGGCTCTACTGGTCTTGGGTTTTGAACTTGAGGCCTGGGCGCTGTCCCTGAGTTCTGCTCAAGGCTAGAGCTCTGTCACTTTCAGCCACAGCTCCACTTGTTTTCTGGTGGTTCATTGGAGGTTAAGAGCCTCAGGGACTTTTCTGTCTGGGCTGGCTTTGAACTATGATCCTCAGATCTCAGCCTCTTAAGTTGCTAGGATGACAGGCGTGGCGCCACCGGCATCTGGCTGACTGGATGTGTACGAGAGGAAGAAACATGTTTAGAGAGGCTGAGTTGCCCGAAGATGTGAGTTTCTGTGTCGGATGCAGAACTGGGATCTGATCGAGTCCCCAGATGCCCAGCTCACACCTGCTGCCAATGAGGTCCTGCGCTTGCAAAGCTGCGGGGATAAGACAGGGGCAGGGGAGCGGGGTGCCGGCGGCTTACTACCATAACCCTCGCTGCTCAGGAGGCTGAGGTCGAAGGATCATGGTTTGAAGTTAGCTTGGGTAGTGAAGTCTGTGACTGTTTTATCTGCTTCACTACCAAAAAGCTGGAAGCTTTTTTAAGCTGGGGCTTAAAGGATACAGCACCAGCTTTGCCTGGAAAGGCTAAGGGAGAATTCTCAGGCCCTGAGTTCAAGCCCCAGTACTGGTGTACCTCCCCCCCAAAAAAAAAATCCCACAGAAGTTAAACAGAAACCCCACCAGCACAGACTGGAGTGTGGCTTTGTGGTAGAGTGCGTTTGCAGCACGCCCATGCGTGTGCACTCACACACACCGCATAGGAAGATGACACAAAATGTTTCTTTGGCAGCGGATTTCACCCGGAGTTTTTTCTTCCCTGCAGAAGGCCCAGAGGGCGCCCCCTGCAGGCCGCCATAGCCGGCGCTGCCAGCTGCCTCACTCCTGGCTCAGTACATCAGCTGTGAGTGACCAGAAACTTACAGCAGGGCTTTTTAAACTGTCACGTAGCTGCTTTAGCAGTCAGATGCACACGACGTTTTCTGAGATGAGCTGGATGTGCCCAGGCTGGTCCTGCACGCCTGGGCTCAAGTGATTCTCCGGAGTCGGCCTCTGAACGGCCCTTTGTGTTTGCAGGGGTCGTGTACCATTACACAGCACTGGGTGTCCAGCGGGACCGGGCGGGGTGGGAGCAGAGCCTGAGCGTCCCCCTGGTGCAGCCCGGCCTGTTCGCACTGATGGACCAGTGGGACAAGTACCTGGAGGACTTCTCTGCCGCAGGGGCCTGGCTGCCCCACAGGTAGGTGGCCACAGGCCACCCCTTCCCAGCTCCCACCTGTCATGAGTGGTCCCTGTGTGCTCCGGGGCGCCTGCCCCAGAGGGCCGGGAGGCCTGGGGTGTGTGACGTGAGGTGTCCTGCAGAGGGTGCTGCACTGATGCAGCCATGGCCGGTGGGTCTCTGCGTGGCTTCGGCCCTCAGGGTCCCGGACGCCCTGGAAGTCCTTCCCAGCTGCTCCTGAGACTTCTCTCCCATTCCCTTTTTCTTCTCTCCTTTCCTTTCTCCCTCCCTCTCTCCCTCCTGATTTAATTGAAATACAGTCCCCCTATGAGGCCCCGCCTAGCCTCAAACTCCTCCTGACCTGGCCTGGCGAATCCAAGTGGCTTTAAAGCTCAGACAGCCAGGTACCCGTGGCTCACGCCTGTAATCCTAGCTACTCAGGAGGCTGAGATCTGAGGATCACAATTTGAAGTCAGGCTGGGCAGGAACTAAAGTCGGCAAGATTCTCATCTCCAACTAACCACAACAGCCAAAAGTGGTGCTGTGGCTCCAAGTGTTAGAACACTAACCTGGAGCAAAAAAGCGTAGGGACAGCACCCGGGCCCCAAGTTCAAGTCCCACTACTGAAACCAAAGCAAACCATAAAGCTCAGCCTTCTGAGGGTCCAGGCACGGCGGTGAGCCCACTCATCCGGGCACTCAGGAGGCCGAGGCAGGAGGATCACCCAAGCCCAGGAGCATAAGGCCAGCCTGGGCAACACGGCAAGACAAGTAAGAGCTGGGCTCTCTCTTGCCTGTGGCCTCTCCCGAAGGTACGAAGAAGATCACCACAACTGCTACAGCTATGCCCTCACCTTCGTCAACTGCGTTCTGAGCATTGAAGGCAAAGCACAGCTGGACAAGAGCGAGTTCACGGAGAAGTATGTGCTTCCTAGGACGAGGCTGGCCTCCAAGTACATCACACTCCACCGGGCCGTGGAGGAGCATGGCTTCTACGCCATCGACTGGCCCCACCCTGAGACAAGCCGTCCCTGAGGAAGCCCGTGTGCGCGTGTGTGTGTGTGCGTGTACGTGTGTGTGTGCACGTGTGCTGGAGAGGGGATGGCTGCTATGGGTCACCTAAGGGCATTTCACCATGGCTGAGCACACGCATGGCTTTTCTTCAAGGTGAGGGGTCACGGAGCTAGTAGACATTTCAGGCCGGGGTTGTGGCCTGGTGTGTGCCAGGTCCTGCATCTCACCCCCAGCACTGCAATGAACAAACACTAACAAATAAAACTGTGAAAAATGGCACGCATTACAACTGTTGTAGAGACACTGGGCTCTTGCGATGGAGGTCTGTTAGGGTATAAAGTGGCAGTGCTGTTTAGTGGCGCCCTATCACTTGCCTGGAGCTCAGCGATCCAGGCTGGTGGAGTCCGAGGTGGGAGTTTGGCGGGGGAGGGGGGGGAGGGGCCGGGAAATGCAGGCTGGGAATGCAGAATACTTCACGGTTTTCATTGCCAACTCCTTTTTGGTGGTGGTGCTGATTTTGAACTCAGGGCTTTCCTGTGCCAGCAGATGCACTGCCGCTTGAGCCACCTCTCCAGTCCGTTCTGCTCGGGTTATTTTTGAGATAGGATTCATGTCTACCTAGGCCGGTTGGATTTCCATCCCCATTTACATTTCCTGCTATAGCTAGGACAACAGCCCCTCTGCCCAGCCTTTTTTTGTAGAGATGGGGTCTTGTGAAATTTTTGCCCAGGCTGGCCTGAAGCCATAATCTTCCTGATCTCTACTTCTCAAGTAGCTTGGATTATAGGCCTGAGCCACTGTACCCAGCTAAAGGCCAACTTTTTTATTTATTTTTGTTGGTTGTGGGGCTTGAACTCTGGGCTTGGGCGCTGTCCCTGCGCTCTTCAGCTCAAGGCGAGTGCTCTACCACTTGAGCCACGGCACCACTTACTTTTTTAGTTTTTTTTTTTTTTTATTGGAGATGAGTCTCATGCACTTTGCTGCCCGGGCTGGCTTTGAACCACGATCTTCAGATCTCAGCCTTCTGAGTAGCTAGGATGATAGGCGTGAGCCACCAGCGCCCAGCTAAGGGCAACCTTTTTTTTGGGGGGGGGTCTGGTCGTGGGGCCTGAACTCTGGGCCTGGGCGCTGTCCCTCAGCTCTTCAGCTCTAAGCTAACGCTCTACCACTTGAACCACAGCACCACTTCCGGCTTTTTTCTTTTTGCTTATGTGGTACTGAGGAATTGAGCCCAGGGCCTCAGGCATGCGAGGCAAGTGCTCTACCACTGAGCCACCTGCCCAGCCCTAGAAACCAGCTTTTTGCTGGTTAATTGGAGATAAGAGTCTCTCCAACTTCTTTGCCTGGGCTGGCTTTGAACTGCAATCTTCAGATCTCAGCCTCCTGAGTAGCTGGGATTGCAGGCGTGAGCCACTGTGCCCTTCACGCCGTTACTCCTGGGGCCATTAGGAGCGGGTCTGTGCTCATGGAGTGACCAGTGGGCCCTCACAACCCAGCCTCGGGGGTCACAGAACTGAAAGACAACAACCCACACAGGGCTGTTCTTCCCAAACTCCTACACTATGCAGGGCAGGGCCACCCCCCTAAATCTAAGAAACGTTAAGAAATGTTAAGGAAAAACATGAAGGAGAAGCCAGTCTTGTTGGCAGGCTCAAAAGTGAGTCCCAACCACACAGCTTTAGCCACTGCCCAGTGCCAGCTACACTCCAGGAGGTGACACTGGGCAGTGCCCCTGCAGACCAGGGCCACGGGGCCGCAGGGGCCTGGCCGGTCACACAGCGGCCTCCGCACAGCGGCCTCCGCACAGCGGCCTCCGCACAGCGGCCTCCCGCACAGCGGCCTCCCGCACAGCGGCCTCCCGCACAGCGGCCTCCCGCACAGCGGCCTCCCGCGGGGGGACACTCGGTGCATAAAACCAAGCATTGTAAAGCAAACAGCGGTGTCGGTGACCTCCACGCCGGTTACTCTCATCACCCCAGCAAGAGCCATCCCTCCCGGTCCAGGTCCACATGGCCCGGGGCCCAGCGCGCAGCCCGCCGGGAAGCGTGCGGGTGCGGATGGCGGCCTCCGGAGCGGGGGCTCAGCCACACGCTGTGAATGGCGACCTTCCCTGTGCTCAGCTTGAAGACTGGGGGGGATGCTCAACACACCGGGCGCCTCGACGCCCCTCGGGCGGACCCCTCGCACCCAGGTGCC